GCAGTACAACCAACCCCACCAGTACGAGCAGCAACACAAAAGCAACCAGTGCGACTAGTAAATCGAGTGACAAATCGGTCAAGTTATTCGATTTTCTAAAGAAACACGAAGATGAACTGCGTGAATCCCAGCCCGGTCCCGTCGATCTGGAAACATTTGTGCGTCAATTGCCTTCCAATGATCCAATCATACCGCGAGATCAATTACGCGTTGAATTCGTTTTGCATGCTCGAAGCAGTTCGTCCGTGAAACACGGTTAGTTTTTACTGTATGATTAGTTAATGAAAAAGTGCGATTTTTACCATCAGTTTTCAGTTAGGTCGATGAGAAACAATTTATAGCCTAAACAGAAGGGAAGCCCGTTCATCTTCAGCGGAGAAAATAGAAAATGCGAGAAATGAATCAAGTTAAAGGGCAGCAGATAGTAAATCGATCACTGCACCATCGAAAACATCCTTCTTCTGTATGAAACGAAATAATCTGATTTATTTCCAATTGATTATGTGCCTTGATTCGGACGGATCTCTATGCGGCTGTCGTTAACTTTGCACGAATGCATACATCGTTTTGTGGATCTGTATTTTTCGTGGAATTTTAAGTGTTCTATGCCTAATAACTATGCTGTGCATACTGTACGACAGTTAGGGTGCCACTAATTACCTTTATTGCCTTAAAATGAGATGATCGACTGAGAAGGCTGAGTAGCTGTACCCGGAGAAACAATAAGCTTAACAGTAGTGCATTCACCAGGCCCCAGTTTATGATTGATCGATAAAGTAGGTTAACCATGCTCTTGTATGAACACTTGTGAGAAGAACGTTGGTTATTACGGGAACACTGAGATAATAATTGACTCGTTTGACCTTTCTTGATTTTTAAATTGAACCCCGGTGTCCAGAAGTTGTCCTAGATTAAGTATTGTGTTGTAGGGCAAAGCAACAAAATCTGAAACTGTCCACCTGAAAACGCTCCGAATCGTCAAAAGGATTACTTCAATTGAATACGTCACTAGAAAATGACGGTGTATGTTAGTTATATCAAGCATTGTCTTTATGTTAAACACGGGTTAACAGCTTCTGGAACTTCATCCACAAAAGCCACTCAATCAGTCAGCTGATTTAAAGCCAAAGAATTGTGATATATGTAACTGTTTGATGTCACGTGACTCGATAGTGTGCGTGCGCACTCGCACATGCAATAGGATCACGAATCACACATTTCGGTAATCGACTAAACCGGTGCTCTTGGGTGGTCGATACCAGTGTGGGTTGCGTTCCCAGCTCGGAATGGTACTTAGTGCAGTGGTTGGAGAGGGATCATTCAGATTCGGACATGGTAGGAAAACCTGGAATCAAATGAGCTCAAAGGTTTCACTTGGAGAAATTGAGGTTCAGTTGCGATAGGAATGGGAGTTCACAGTCCGTGCGTCACTCACGGTGGCATCAAGGCCTTGTGGACGGTCGAAAGTGCTTCTATCTCCTTATGATGACAGAAGTAAATGCAGCTAGTTCACCGTTCGAGCAAAATGCTTGCTGCTGCTAGAACTGATATCACGATCTGTTTAAAGCAATGTAATCCAGGGGGTAATTCCGAATACACTGCAGACAAAACCGATTGTAATATTAAACTCAGTCCTTCTTATCACGCAAGCAATTTCAGTGCGTTAGCTGTACGGCAAATGAACTGGAATACTAGAATTTTGGTTTATTTCATTCGGAAAAGGGGATAAATAGTCATCTAAGCAACCTGTGCAAGACAAATCATTGTCGGCTGATCTTTTTCTTTGTACTTCGTGTTATTGAATGCATTTGATGATACACAATTTTTCGGGATGTACTAGGCGGTCAATCAAAGTAACGTCATGCGCTACACATAAAATGGGGTATATTAGAACGTGGTGGTGGGCCTGAAACCCTGGACTATGGGGGCTTCCTATGAGCAGAACAATGAAACATCCAAAAAGTGACCATGTCGGATCGTCCATCGTCCCTCGACTAACAATCAAGGTTCCATTTGTTTTGTTTTTCAGAGGTCTCTGGAATACTCGACGAAAATGCAAATAGCTAGAAAAGAAATAAAAGAACCCATCAGGGTCTAAAAGGAAACAAATCGTTCATTGCAAAAACTGGATTTTATTGATTCACTCAAATTTTCGGATGCGATTTCGAGTGTCCCCATAGTTTCATGGAGGAAATATGAAAACGATATCAGTCCAGCATCTTATTAAGAAATAAATTAATGTTCTCACTTATTTTCGCTTACTGGCGGCATGATATCAAGTCAAGTATAAGTTCTTTTGATATTCGTTCCCGGGATCCAACAAACCTGAAAGGTAGGGTGCAACGGAGTTGTGAAAAGCAGTGGTACGAGTATATAAACGTTTAAATATATTGCGCCTGACAGAAGTTGAAATGCAGCGAGATAGGGTTGAGTGTAAAACATGTGATGCATTGGACAAGATAAAGTTACACAGACAGTCACATTTTTTAAGGTGCTGGTTGAAAATAGAATTAACCAGCTCCTCATAAGATACAGCTCCATATCTAGAAATGCTTTTCAGAGAAGAGTAAGGGCGCTAACAGATAAGTTTCTAATATGTGTGGAAAATAGGTATGAGCAAAGAACCGGACCTTTAAATACCCCAGACTTGTTCAACAACGGTTTGGATTTCTTCCGACCTAACCTGATACACGAAGTTCTCTTCGAGAAGTAATCGGCAAGCCAAGCTAATAACTGTCTAAGACAACCAAAGGTTTCCAGTTTAGGAAGAAGAAGGGGACGAGGAATAGAAGCAGAAGGAGATGAGAAGTCCAGAAACACACATCTGACAGAATTTGCAGAGTCATTCAAGGATTTGGTAATTTTATGTAAAAGAGAGGAAACTGCATCTAACCCGCATCTTTTTAGTTTAATAGCAAACTGAAGAGGATCACATGGGACATCAATAGAGGACTGAAGGCGCTTAAGAACAACACGTTCTGCTAGCTTAAGTCTAACAGAAGTTCAAGCGATAGGACGAAAGCGTTTGGTCAGAACATTTGAAGTAGAGGATTTGGGAATGGGAACAATTGTTACTGGTTTCCAACAGTCGGGTGCACAGCAGGTTTTTAAGGAATTGTTCAAAAATGATGTGTATATTTCACTGAAAGAATAGGCCTCATAGCTCAGAAGGGAAAATAAATACCATTGGACGAACACTACATATGGTTTTCACGGTACGCAGAAGCTCAAAAGTTTCTTTATTCGAGACGGCCTCTACTTAAACGGCATCGTCCAGATCAAAATGGCGTGATCGCAATGTTTGATGGGTGGATAAATGCTGCACTACCACTGTGCAAATCCGTTGTACAATCCGACGTTTTGGATTTGGTCCCACACAGCAATTTGATACCTTGCCAAATCCGCTTACTGTTGTTAGATAGCAGAGGCTGGTAGGCACTTGACTGTGAGGCATCTGATTTCACCTTTGATCAACTTGGTCTAATACTTGACAGCCGCTGAGTCTCTAGATTTGTACAATCGTTCCTTCTGTCTTCTGAATGATTTCAAAGATGGAGATGCTATTCTGTCATTACAAACAAAGAGTTTCAAAGGGCAGAATAGGCCAAACGTGTGGTTAAGTGTTTCAGTGAATAAGTTGACTGCGTTGCGTAAAGAGGGATAAGAAGAAAACCACGAAGAAATGACACTAATGCAACGCTTAAGAAGAAGAGTTTCTTCGGAGAGATTGCGAAGACCAATGGTGACTTGGTTTGTTCTTGCGAGTGCATTGTGAACGTAACTACTGTAACTATACTGTAGGTCTTGTGAGAATCAGTGTGTGACCACTAGTGAAAATAGGTGTTGTGAGTTTTAAGGCAATATGTTCTGGGTGATTAGTAATTACCTTGTCTAAAAAAATCACCTGTTGTGGGGTACAAGCAAATATCAGTTAAGCCAAATAAGTGATGGTATATGTGGATGCAATATTCCAGTCGCCAACAATGATGTGGAGACTGTCGTCTATAAAGGGAACGCAAGACGGAATAAATACATCCAAGAAGGATGAAATGTGAGACTGGGTACAAAAGGGGAAATTATTTTACTTCTCTATCGTGAAAATTTAGGGAAACATTGAACAGCTAAGCAGTCGATGCCATCGATGGAATAATCAAAAAGAATTTCAGACTTGCAGCTCCAGGTTGAGTTGAAGTACGTGATCATTCCACCTGTTTCCTTCTTGCAGTGCTTTCTGTCCTTACGGAAGCATTGAAAACCATTGATACCAATTAGTGAGTCCTCGGCATTATGGCCTAGCCAGGATTCTTGAATACAAACGACACACATGTTGCGGTGGATGCGTGAATCAAGGGTGCATGTTACATCTGTCATCTTTGCGAAGAACGACCGGATGTTCGTGCTGACCAATGATGGCACAGTCATTTTCGATGGTGGTGTGCGACTAAGCACCGCTTGCCGGCCACCGCGCTTGCGTTTCTTCACTTGAGTAGGAATCCGAATCCAAAGAGGACATAAAAGACATGTTTGAAACTAATTAATTAACAGGAAATATTTGCAAGATAGTTGAAGTATCTTTTACGTTACTGATTAAGATGTTGGGAACAGGTGATCCGGAAGTGTTGATGGCCTTCGGTTAATGGAAAACAAAAATTCAATGTGTTTTTCGGGTTTAAAGAAAGGTTACCGCCATTGGACCATTCAGAAGTGGAACTTATGGTTGATTCAAGGGGGTTCGTTGAATGCATTGTTGTTGTGAGATAAACCACCAAATACTATATCATCAGCATATTGAAATGTGAAAACATTTGGGTGACTGGCAAATTTTGGATGTAAAAGGAGAACAGAAAAAGGTATAAAACTGCACCCTACTAATGCAGGGTTTACAGTAACAGTAGTCGACCTGATATCATTGAGATAAATGAATTGGGTCAATAAAATGCTCTTGCATTTAATTCAAAAGATGTGGTGGGAGATTATGTTGCCGTAACAGTGACAATAGGGTGCTTCTGTCAACAGATTTAAACGCGTTTGTGTAGTGCAAGAAACAAACATGATCAATTTTGTTTTTCGTTCTTAGTGGGTAAAACATTATGTAAATGACAAAAAAGCGCATCTAAAGTAGAGCAACGATTACAACAGGCAAACTGATTGGAATAACTGAAATCAGGATTAGAAAATAGATGCATATTTCATAACAATAATTGAAGTACACTGAAGACTGAAATTTCAGAATCGGAGAGTAGCTGTAAGTCCGTACCGGCAACCATTGATTTTAATTCCATCAGATTGGCCAGATGATTTTGTTGTAAGCGTATCTTGCATGCACTGTTCTTCGTCAAGAATTTTGGCTGCATTTACCATATATTTTAGGTAAAACTTTAATTAGACAATGATCGGAATTACTCAATGGTGCACGCTTGAAGGTACAAAAAATGATGGTTCATTAGCGAAAATGTGGTCCAAGGAGGCATCATTTCCAGTGGAAAACTGACAATGTTCTGAAGGGACATAAGTGCGTAAAAACGCAGATTCGATATGTTGAAATTGCCAGCAACGATAAATGCAGATGTGACAGATTTCCTCAACATTATTGGATAGAATATATCCAGGAAGGTAGACAACTCATCAGGAGTATAGTCAGGAGTAATGTGTATACTTGAAGAGATGATCGAAGAGTGACGCAAGTGAAAACGTGGTTCATATTCCACAGTTATACAAGAAATGTTTTGTGTACAGTGAGTGAATATGCATTTAGTGGAGTTACAACACGACCGGCGCATATATGTAATGACGCCGCCACCTTTAGTTCTCCTTCCTGGTGATCTATCTGCACGAAATAAATGGAAGTCTTCGATCTGAACTAGATATCATCGACGGATTCTTGTAACCAGGATTATTGGAAAGGTAGCGCACAACTTTTGGAATGCTCCCCGTAGTCACTCAGAATACCGATTTCCGATAGCTTAGAAAGAGTTGAACAGACATTCGACGACAGAATGGTAGGAAAACCAATGCTCTTCAGGTTTCGGTGCTCGAATGCAACTTTCCAGGCTGTGCTATATTTTCTCCGTTGACCAATTGAATTTTTGATGATCTTATTTCTCACACAAAGAGAAGAAGCACGTAAGGACGATCAGTTGATATATTCCACGGAAATTAAACTGAGCCCGTTGTAGGTAATCAGTGAGGTCAAAGTAATTGATACAAAAGTACATTCAGTGGTAATCTGTGATGAAAAAAATAAAGCTCCGACGATAACAAAAAATGATGGCCAATTTCAGGGCCCCACCTCGGACGGGTAGTAGACTTTAAGAAAAAGGGCCGTAACCTTAGATTAAGCGCCTAGATGAAATCATCAGCTGCTTGCTTCGGCACGTTTATTATGAAATAACTAGTGATTATCTACAGGATCCAAATTTTACTTTGAAATCGTTGAATAATATTTTACATAAACATATTTTACTGAATCAGGCGCATTAGTATGATGCTTAATTTTAGGGGATTTCCGGCTGCCAATCATCATGTTTTTTTCATCTCATTGTATGAATAATATAGCATTTTGAACACCGTTTCGCAGTTAACGACTTAATTAGTATAATCTAAAACTGTGAAAAGTCTACCTTATTCTGCTATGTTATGCGGTAAACTTGGAGCTCATTCGCGTGCAAATCTTCTGACGTAGTCGACATTATTGACCTGTATATATTTACAGCACTATTAAACAGAGATTTTTGCGTCTCCTCTAAGGGCATTACCAGTTATCGCCACACAATGTATACTGGTTCGATTAGACTCCGCCCCGATTGTCGAAGACCAGTTTTGAGTTCCATGAGAACAGAGCACCCTATTCTCCGGAGAGTTGGTTTCATTTCATTGGTTGAAATTGAAATGAACTGTCCTTGGTATGATTACAGTTAGAAGAATCATCTTAAAACTACAGTTGTTAAAACTACGCACCCCGAGTGAAGACGTCCTTGCCAGTGTGTCCATTGTTGTGATCGTGATAGGAGGGCTGATGAACTGAGCTCACGGAGCTTAATTGAANAATTGAAAGCTTTGTGCGATCACAAAGACTTATTCTAAATACATCTATTTTGTCAAGTTGATCTGACACAACAAGATGATCATGATCAGTAAAAAATGAATAGAAGCTGGTTTAGTACTGCAAATTATTTTCCTCCTCCGAATTCTTAACCATATCTACATCTGATTTTCACACATGGAATTTCTCCGGATTAGACGAGAAGTCCGATGTCTCATCAATCCAGCTGACCAATAATCCGCCAACAGTCACGTCTTTGTACAGTACTTCTTGCTGCTATTGTGAATGCGTTGTATTCACGTGCGGCTTTGATTAACCTTTTGATAGTCCCGTTGAAACGAACACGAAAACCGTAAAACAAGCCCCAGATTGAAATATGCCCAAATACCGTTCGTCTACCACAAATTATGCACGAAATCCTGCGCCACGGAGAACATAACATGATTTTAATGGGCATGGCGTTCTTCAATCTCCTCAGCGAAGTGGCTTCATGCAGGTAGATCATATTTATTTTCTCGATGAGACACGGGCAAAACGCCATACTTAACCAGCTAACGTGGCACACGGAGAACTGCCAAACGCCCATGCAACGTGCTGAGATGAGAAAGGAGGAAGGGATAGACCGACATGCCAAAGAACCTACTTCAGTAAATAAACAGAAACAAAACCCCCCTAAGCTCCGGTAATATCTGTTCGGCTGGTGATAAGACGTTTGCAAGCGCACTACCACCACCAGTGGGAGTAATCGTTCGAAGCGTAGTTGATACAGGATATTTTGTCGTGTATCGGAGCCGGTTATTTTTGTGCTAACCATTGCATGGATGGTGCGAAATCTGGCGGTGCAGCTCCTGTATTGGTTCCAATTGGTCTCAATCCAGACAAATAGTAGAATACCTGTAAACCTAAACGTACACATATGCTGACGTGGGGCTTAACATCCAACGAGTCACGATAAGTTATTCCCCGGTAAGTACATACGGTTTATTCGTTTTTCTTTCGCGTTTGTCACATTAACTACGTGTGTGTGTGTGCGTGCCTGTGCGTGCTTGAAAGTATGTCTGTAATCACCAGACCTGAGTCGATCGATTAGTTGCAGTGGCTAAATGCAGATAAAGGTCTATCCCGTAGGGAATTGGATTACACAGGACAGTGTGGGATATCACATCGGTGAACTGCTTCTCGGACCGTAGAACCCTATACTGCCCTCATGTGCATCCGTAGCTATCTCCGGTTTGTATCCTATTTTTCTTTATAAAGCGCGAATTCTTCAATTATTTATTTACCAATTGAATGTTTTTACACAAGGACTAGCCTATTTCAGTGTTTCATTCTGTTGCACTGATGTGTATTCAAACAATATAATTTGGTTCTTGTTACATAGCCAATTGTTCCTGACGCACAAATTTCATGTTTTCTATCGGTGGGTGACGTTCAATCCACATTTACAGTTAAGGTGTTTCTTAAGTGTTGTCACACTTTTTATGATACTCAACACCTGAAATTAATATGCTAATAACCGCGGCTTCAATGATCGCTCATGGTTCCAGGTAAAAGGCCTCGACACAGCGGGATGGTCAAGCCTTCTGATTTGAAAAAAGGCAGTCCAAGCGCTACCAATGCCGCTCGAGCAGCGAAAAATCGTGGAAAAATGCGCGAGAAGACCAAATCGACCGCGCAGTTGAACACGATCAACCCAGTTGCGGCACCGAACACGTTTCCATTACGCGGATCTAGAAGTATGGGTTCTTTAAACACGACCGTAAAAGCCGGGGAAATTTTCGGGCAGGTCCCGGAAGAACTCTGGCCGGAACCTTGTCTGCCTCAATCACTGATGGTTAGTGCACCACTGTGCTGAGAAATGTTTTGCTTTTTAAATCCACCTCTTTTCTGTTTGAGATAATAAATCTATTCTAAAAGCGTGTGTGAGAGAGATTGGGTAGAAATTGTATTCTTATTTTTGTGGTATTGTTCAGTAACTTAGAAAGGTTCAGTTAGATCACCATTTACCAAAATGTGAGTTGAACACAGCGCACAACACAAACCAAGCCACTATGGTTCGAGTGAAACCGGTATGGCTGCCAACTGAGATAATAATACGTTAAGTGATCAGATGTTAGGGGTACCTGTTTTGTGACAAAACTCCACACTAGGTTGAACTACAGGCCGATGATTTCTCGAACTCAAGGACATAGTGTCCGTTTTCACAAGCTCACTCTGCGTGCCTCTGCTTACTTGTTCTTTGGGTGCGGCGTATAAATGGTCCCATAAACTTACAGTTATTATTTATGGAATACTCCCATAGGAATATCAAAAGCCGAACAATATAGCGAACAAGCTTGTTTTCGTAACTTCGTCTTCAGGCCTTTATAGTTATGTGTATGTTTATATCCAATGCAGAAATAAATGTGATTAGTCCATAGAGGTTAAATATGAAAAACGACAGTCTATCAAGTCTAATCCAGCGATTCCGTGAAAACTACTCGATTGGACTGATCGGTAAAAGGAAGTTGAATCATTTCACACCTCGTGGATTCCAATCAGGTGGGTAATGTGGTGGTGATAGTCTTCGATCTCCTTCTATTTGGTTTGCACCTATCTTTCGATCCTATTTGATAAGTATTTGCCTGTTGTACCCATACCCGCTGCTCTCTGGATCAGTTCGAGAAGACACAGCCTTCCACGGCCAACACTATAATCAACACGGTCAGTGCCCTTTAGATAATTCAGACCACTTTTGTCATGACCAATTGGAGAGTAACAACCATTTACGCAACTGATGCAATATGTTTTAATCTTTGACCAATCATGTATGGTTTTGTCTTTAAATGACTTGTGGGTGGATAAAATTGATGATAAGGAACACGAAAAAATATCCAAGTTATCTATGGTTCCAAATTCTTTCTTCGATATATTTGGGTGCGACAATAACTTCCACGATATTCGATATTTCTCTTACAGAGCGTTGATTTGTCGGGTCTGATTCCATCACGCTGACAACCGCTCACTCCACGTAGCTGGTCGCGCAACATAATGCCATGCTTATTCACTGGTTGGACGTATATGTGTATTTCAAATCCTTCACTTGTTTTATGGTAGCAAGAGCAAAAATTCCATACGGGAAGAATCATCTGATGCTCCCGCCAGTCAAAAACCCACTTTTGCGCTTTTTGCCCAATGACTGGACTGCTGAGAGGGATATTCCAGTCTGTCTTCAGCCCTGTTTGCCTTTTTATCTCAATCCCATACCCTCGATACAGAGTTTATTTGTGATTGTGTATTACACCGGTGTGAATGTGGAAGGCATATTCCGTCGAACCGTGGTCAATCGGAATATCTGCGCTATGCGTGACAAGGTGGACGAGAATGAACTGATTACACCCAGTATATGCCCACCGATCTTGGCTGCATGTGTCCTGAAAGTGAGTGGCCCTCCCCCCGATGTTGTATGTCAGCATGCATGCCTGCCCCCGAGTTCAGGCGAGTCTCATTGATCCATATGGTTTGCACTATCGATCTTATTTTCCCTCATGATCACGTGACTAAGATAGATTATTTATTTTGTTATTTTATTGCATGAATCAGTAAAAGGGGAAATCCCCATATTAGAAAGCGTACTATTAAACAGAGAGTAAGCGAACATATTTTAAGATTCAACCTTTGGAATCCTTGTTCAAAGAGTGAAAAACTGTCAGTTGAGAGAAAAACAGAGTGGAAAAATGATCTACAACTTGGTAGTTGGGGGAAAAGTAAGACTGAAGCAGAGAATTATGATATCTAGTGACGTAAATCTGATAAGGGTGATTGTTTTTACATGTGCGGGATGGGTGGGCATAAGGTACGGGAAGGGTAATTGCCAAGGGAAGCTCCGAAGTACAATAATCACAGTTGCAGTGGTAGTAAACTGATAGTGAGTTAATTGCCCAACGATGGACTACTGACTGCAGATTTGAGGTTAGTGAAGTATCAATGAACCGGATGGCCTTCCGTTGAAAACGATCAAGAAGAGAAAGCGTAGGAAACAAAGCCCGCACTCCACCTGCCACTGCATGATTCCAGAGCAAGACCGATTCGGGCCTTGTAAAATACAAGATAAGCTGGGAAAAAGAAACTTCTGATGCAGAATAAAATTACTCTTGCGCAGCGCACGAAAAGCAAGCTAATATATAAAACAGGACTAGCATACAGTAATTCGAGAAAAGAGAAAGAGGTTGCGAAAAGCAGTTGGATAGAATCAAAAGATAAGTGGAGAACGACTGAATGGCATGTTAGAGAAATTGAAAGATGGGAAGATATGGGAGCATCGAGCGGTTGTCCCAGGAGGAGATGAGTTGGGTATCGGAGTTCAGTGCCACACTAAATGCACTATGGGCGCTGTCGCTGTTGGTTTAGGAACAGAAAATATTGCTGTAGGAGTGGATTTGGGGAAGGTGTCGTTTTCGGCAAAAGAATGGATTGGGTTATGAGTTCTGGAAAAGATGATCATTGAAAAATAGAAGAAAGAAAGTGGGTGCAAGTACTGAACTTTGGGGAAGCCAAAATTCGCCAGGGACGTTTGAGAAAGAACTCTATCTGCTTGAATGGAATTGGTTCACTTACTGAGGAAACTTAATTTGCAAGACACGATAGCCGGGGGAGCAGTTTTGCTAGTAGAGCCTTCTACTTTCGAGATATCAGGCGAGACCAAGTGTAACTGAAGGCGAATGGTACACCTCAGACTCAGAAAACACCCATGAATCTCTCTCTCTCATAAAATTGAACTTCTCGATAACGAGGTCCATCTAATTTATACCAGTCCTGGTCAAACATTAGCATTGTTACTGAGTACCTAACTCATACTCAACTTATAAACTGAATGGCCTTTCCGTAGAATTCATGAGATTTTTGCGCACACTTGTTCTCACTGGCAGAGTTTAGTGGTCAATGGTCAAAGATGAAAAATTTATTATGAGAATAAACTACAAGACCATGCTTCTCTCGTCCCATAGGTTCGTGTTTTGGTTAGGAGATAGTGATGCATACACTTCCTTGTTTAAAATGTCATATGATACGTGATTCTCCCACTGCTGCACACAGCTTTATTTATGTTAGAATGTAAGGTGTGCTAATGCTTCATCGAGTCTTAGGTTGAAATATTCAATGCTTGGCGCACAGACGACGTGGGGTGGGAGATAGTTTCAGATCGAACACACTCCGGCTGCGAATAACTGACACCGACATTCCAGTGGGCATTTTGAGACCCCTAGTTGGAACGGATGTCCTGTAAGATGAACGTTGGGTGATAACTTTAGCAGCGAGCAACAGGAATGGTTTGGATTTAGTATTATTTGGCATATTATAATCATGTCTCCTCTGATAGGCCGGAGTGTTTGGAATATAATCCCAGCGACTTCATTCTCTCTGTGTAAGAATCACGATTCAGCCCACTAACCATTTTGGTGGCCATCCTTTGTGGACACTCCGGCATTTTGCAATCACGTTGTAGCCGTGGCTCGTTTGCTTGCATAGCGTACTCTATGGGTGGGCGAATGTACGCAGCTGCGGGAAAAGCGCTGACTCAAACCGGCCAAACACCCGCCTAAGCAAATCTACATTCTTTACAGCTGCGCTCGACACTTTGACGCAGTTGAGTGAGCAGCTTAAGTTTTCTTGCATGATGATGCCCAGGTCCTTCTCACTTGAGGCTTGAGGCAGTTGGTTATTTCCGAGGAAACACGAAACTCTCCCTTTGTATAGTAGAGAGAGAACCTTACACTTTGGCACATTAAATTCACTCTCGTTCAAAACAGACCAGAGATGAGCTGCTTTTAGCCTTTCTTGGAGTGCCAGCGAGCCCGCTGGTTGCGTCACTGAATTCCAAATTTTTGTGTCATCTGCAAACAGTAATGATTTTAAGATCGTTTTCAAGTGTTTCTACAGAACAAATTATTTTCTCTCCAGAAAACAAGCCCTTTAGTAGGGTTCGCTTGTATTGTATTGGACAGAAGATTCTGAAGTTCAGAAACTGTCCGGTCCAATTTGGTTTGTGGAATGTAGACCTGAGAATAGATTCATCTTCCCCCCTCGTGAGTTTGACATCCATGAGTTGAAAGGATGTCTTAGATTCATGTTCTACGGTAAATGTGATGTTAGGGTGACAGAAACTCAAAGATTTTAGCATTTATTTGGCATTATTCTTGCCTTTGACAACAACAAACGTGTCGTCAACATAATGCTTATAGAAAAAAGTCTTATGTATTGACTGGTGATGGTCCATGAATATATCGGTTAACAGTGGTCCTAGTGAGCATCCCATTGCCACAACATCAACTTGTCGATATGTGATACCATTGAAACAAAACTGCACATCTTTTATACACAACCGCAGCAGCTTCTTGAGATGAGATAGTACACTGAGATTACTGGCGTGGGAGCACATAATATCTATTATCTCTTCAAGGAGGACGTTCCTGAATAATGAGCAGACGTCATACGATACCATGTATTTCTTGGAAACACTTAGCGTCACCATTTCGTCCGACAATTTAATAGAGTCCTTCAAACTGTGTTGCAAACTTGCGCCTCATTGGATCTATCACTTAGGCCAACCATTGTGCCAACTTTTGGGGTGGTGCACCAATCATAGAGAGTATAGGACGTAGTAGCATCCCCTCTTTGTGAACATGGGGTAAACCGTACAACGGAGGCAGCTGCGAGCCACGAGGAAGAAGTTGGGTAACAGTGATTATCACAAAAATGTCTCAATCAAGCTCACACGGCAGATTAGTTCTGCTAAGAAATTGTGGTTTCACGGTTATAAAAATTACTTGCAACTACATCGATTATTTCATCTGATTCGAGAGGAAAATATTTACCCTTGAAACAATTAATGACTCTCTAACACCCGTCTTTGTGTGTGGGTAAGAAGGAATACTGCCTTAAGCAAAAGCAACTAGATATAGTTGATGGGACATCGAGAAACCATCAATTCGTTCCGTCCGCCATTGGGACGCAAGTGACCATACGCATACAACGTTTATTGATTCTCAGGCAATACCCATTTTTTAGGTTATTTTGCCGCAGACGGACACATAAAGCCCCCCCCCCCCCGATAAATGTCTAGTATTGATTATTCAGAATGTTCCACAGCTCATTGGTGTTAAAGCCTACTTGCAAATTGCATATCGAATGCTAAATACCAATCCATTAATTATTCCTCTTAAAGTGATCAATGGAATTCAATCATTTCAAATAAGAACACTGTACTTGACTAACTTCTCTTTTATTGAGATACGCATAAACTGTCGTAAAGAAAAAAATGACTGTCATAATCAATGTATTGTGTGTACATTTATTACTGAACCACATCTGCAACCTGGTCGTTAGTGACTCTATTCTACTAACGATATGTTCATCAAATTTATTTTGCATGAGCTTCTGTGTTTAACTCCGTATTTTATCGTGTATTTTGTGGTAAGAAGTTTGCCTTCAGGAACACAAAATAGATGAACATACGACTAAATATGATGCCAATTGGAGATGATGTAAATCGCTGTCGGTCCTATAATGCTCTGACCTTTTCTCGCCGTTAGAGCCAAACCCTCACTGAATGTGTCTACTTATGGCGGAGGGGGGGTGCAACAGTTTAGTTTTGACCAACAACAGAGCCGACTTATCCTGTGTACCTATAAATGCAGTGCACAATCGTTAGAATTACAGGAGTTTCAGTCACATCAGGTCGGGGGTACAAGAGATTCACAAATGACATCGAGATCACTGGATCAGGCAATTGGACACAACCCAGAGTATATGGACACCGGACGGGGAAGTGGTGAACGGAGTTTAAATGCTTATCTAAGAGCTGCTTCTTGTCTGCTTTTTCATACGAACTACTCAGAACTCTCTCGTATAAAATGGTCTGGCTGGTGCCTTTACCATTTCGATATTTTACACCCACAAACTGATGTTGTGCACTATGTTCCCACTTTTGCATAATAGTGTTTCCTTCTAACTAAAACCGATTTGCTTCGTCTTTAGTAAGCAAAATATTTTCCATAAATCGCTCATCTCTTCTCTTTTGATCATGAACCGCATCCTATGAGAATAGAAGTTCTTCCACGAAATACCCTCTCATGTGCTTGGTGATGAGAATTGGGATGATTGGATGGAGATCATTCGTATGTCCAACTTCGCTGAACGTGCAAAGGAGGTACAACGGTAAGTGTTTTCAATATTTACTTATCACTCAGGGAAATATGAATAACAAGAATCGGATGTCTAACACGGAAGAACCATATGAAAACTGAAATAGCGCCTGCTGTTAGGTCCCTAAGAAACAACAAGCAATCCGTCGCCACCTCATCGCATTTTAGGTTCTTATTCCGAGAACATTCATCAGATCAAATTCAGTTGAATTCACTAGCTCATCGCTATTCAATCCGAGTAATGTATGCCAATATTTCGTTAGCGGATATCTCGTACAGACTCTTAATCTTGGATTGCTGACACATGCACAGTGTTCTTGTATCGCTCCTTGAAAGTCACAGTTATTGTAACCGTTTGTTCACTAGTGAATGAAATGAAACAGTTAGTCAGGGAATACGCATGCATCTAGAGACGAAGACAGAGGGGTATGAGTCTATTTGTTTATGTTAGCAGACGGTACAGGCAAGCACAATCATATCATGCCCAGCAGTGCAATTGTGACTCTGATCCACTATGAC